AAAACTAGGCTTGGTGTGGTGGCTAACACCTGTAATCCCAGCACTTTGGGAAGCTGAGGTGGGTGGATCACTTGAGGCCAGGAGTTTGAGACCAGCCTGGCCAACATGGTGAAACCCCATCTCTACTAAAAATATGAAAAATTAGCCCAGTGTGGTGGCTTGCACCTGTAATCCCAGCTACTTGGGAGGCTATGGCAGGGAGGCAGAGGTTGCAGTGAGCCGAGATCTTGCCACTGCACTTCAGGACAGGCAACAGAGCACAACTCTGTCTCAAAAAAAAGAAAGAGAGAGAGAGAGAGAAAGAAAAAGAAAGAAAACTAATATATCAAAATAAAATAATTTCTAGTTAATTTGATTCACTCACTTATTCCTCCAATAATTGTTATTGAATTATTATATATTACTACTGCTTTTTAGTACATACCTTCTACAATTTTTAAACTGAAGAGTTAAATACTTCATTTGATCAGGGTTCTTTAAACTCATTTTCATTTGCATTGTTTTATAACTATAGTTATTATCCATGTGTTAGCACTCTGAGCCTACTGTAATGATGAGTACCTTAACAAATAACTGGCTGTTTCTAATGGTTGGCAGTAAACTCAGTTTTTCTTGAATTTAGAGCTTAAAATATGGGAGTAATTTGCTGCTATATTTCCTTTGAGAGATAAGGAAAAACAGAATCTAATAACAATCACGGATTTTAGGGAAAGCACTGAAAAATCATATGATCAATTCTGGCTTCTTATGTAAGCATGGAGAGATTGCCAACTGAAGATCTGTCATACTCTAAGAAGTTAAGGAGAATTTGCATTTTTAGAACTGTGAGCAAAATGAGAACTACTGCCATGTTTATGCTTTATGAATTTAGTTTTATTTTACTCACACAATTCATGGAAAAAAATGCATCTTTTAAGTCAGTGTTTTTCCAATTCAACTTTTTTTTTTTTTTTTTTTTTTTTTTTTTTGAGATGGAGTTTCACTCTTGTTACCCAGGCTGGAGTGCAATGGCGCGATCTCAGCTCACCGCAACCTCCACCTCCTGGGTTCAGGCAATTCTCCTGCCTCAGCCTCCTGAGTAGCTGGGATTACAGGCACGTGCCGCCATGCCCAGCTAATTTTTTGTATTTTTAGTAGAGACGGGGTTTCACCATGTTGACCAGGATGGTCTCGATCTCTTGACCTCATGATCCGCCCACCTCGGCCTCCCAAAGTGCTAGAATTACAGGCATGAGCCACCGTGCCCGGCCCCAATTCAACTTTTAAAATACAGGATATGGGGCAGCCTCGGTGGCTCATGCCTGTAACCCCAGCACTTGGGGAGGCCAAGGCGGGTGGATCCAAAAAAAAAAAAAAAAAAGATTCTCTTGCTTGAAAGAATGAGTAAAAAAAAAAAAAAAGAGAGAGAGATAGAGACCATCCTAGCCAACATGGTGAAACTCCGTCTCTACTAAAAATACAAATATTAGCTGGGTGTGGTGGCGCGCCTGTAGTCCCAGCTACTCAGGAGGCTAAGGCAGGAGAATCACTTGAACCTGGGAGACTGAGGTTGCAGTAAGCAGAGATTGCACCACTGCACTCAGCCTGGTGACAAGAGCGAGACTCCATCTCAAAAAAAAAAAAAAAAAAAAAAAAAAAGATGTGTTACTTACCAAGGAAAATTCATTTACAATGTTTAATTACTTGACAAACATTTCAAGTAATTCCATCTGGCTTTGTGTCACCATTTCCCCACCCCCTTTTTTTTTTTTTTTTTGAGACGGAGTTTCGCCCTTGTTACCCAGGCTGGAGTGCAATGGCGCGATCTCGGCTCACCGCAACCTCCGCCTCCTGGGCTCAGGCAATTCTCCTGCCTCAGCCTCCTGAGTAGCTGGGATTACAGGCACGTGCCACCATGCCCAGCTAATTTTTTGCACTTTTAGTAGAGACGGGGTTTCACCATGTTGACCAGGATGGTCTCGATCTCTTGACCTCGTGATCCACCCGCCTCGGCCTCCCAAAGTGCTGGGATTACAGGCTTGAGCCACCGCGCCCGGCTTCACCCACCTTTTTTTTAGAAACCAAAATCAAGAAGAACAAACATCAAAATGGACATGGAAATTAACAAATATATGGTTCAATTTCATCTCCTAAGTGTTTTTTTTTTATTTTTCAATTTTTATTTTTGTTTTTGAGATGGAGTCTCGCTCTGTTACCAGGCTGGAGTGCGGTGTGGCAATCTTGGCTCACTGCAACCTCTGCCTCCTGGGTTCCAGCAATTCTCCTGCCTCAGCTTCTGGAGTAGCTGGGATTACACGCGTGCACCACCACGTCCAGCTTAATTTTTGTATTTTTAGTAGAGACAGGGTTTCACCATGTTGGCAAGGATGGTCTCAATCTCTTGACCTCGTGATCTGCCCACCTCAGACTCCCAAAGTGCTGGGATTACAGGTATCTTTTATTTTTATTTTTTGAGACAGGGCCTCCCTGTCACCCAGGCTGGAGTGCAGTGGCACAACCATGGCTCACTGCAGCCTCAACCTCCCAGGCTCAGGTGATCCTCCACCTCAGCCTCCCAAATAGCTGCGATTACAGGCGTGAGCCACCGTGCCCCCTCTCATCTGCTAAGTGGGTTTAAAGAAATTCAGTTTAATGCCAATTTAAATAATGTATGGTCATCAAATTTATTTGATTTCTTTTAACCAATGCAATCAGATAACTGTGTGCTTGTTTGATGAGGAGAGGAAAATTAATATAGCCAATCTACTCGATATTTTTAGCAGAAATTATCAGAGACTAAGGAAATGTTTAAGTTTTTCTCATGTTGGTTTTAATTACCTGATGTTTTCAGTTTTCATTCTTGTGTCTTTTTTCATTTTCAGTGTTTCAAATACAGTTGGTATTTAAAGATTTTAAAGTTCCAAAACTGTAAGCAAAGTGGATTGTTTCCTGGGATGATGTTAAAATTATACAACAAAATGTATGAAACTTTGTCAATTTGTAATATTTACAAATAAACGTGTGTGTGTGTGTGCGTGTACACACAATTCAATGAAATAGATATTAAACAAGTTTGTTTGTTTGTTTGTTTGTTTTTTGAGACAGTTTTGCTCTGTTGCCCAGGCTGGAGTGCAATGGCACGATCTCAGCTCACTGCAACCTCTGCCTCCTGGGTTCAAGTGATTCTCCGGCCTCAGCCTCCCAAGTAGCTGGGACTACAGGCACCCGCCAGCATGGCCGGCTACTTTTTGTATTTTTAGTAGAGATGGGGTTTCACCATGTTGGCCAGGCTGGTCTTGAACTCCTAACCTCAGGTGATCTGCCTGCCTCGGGCTCCCAAAGTGCTGGGATTACAGGCGTCAGTCACCTCGCCCGGCCACAAGTTTTCAAAATATAGTTATCTGTACCCATACATTCTCCAGTGTGTCCACAGGACATCTTATGACTTGGGCAAGCTGCTAAAAATCCAAGGGTACAGCATTTGTAAGTCTATAGGATTGCTCACATCTGCCTCCCAAAAAAGAATTTAAGAGGATTCCTTGAGGCCAGGCACAATGGCTCACACCTGTAATCCCAGTACTTTGAGTCTGAGGCCAGAGGACTGCTTGAGGCCAGGAGTTCAAGACCAGCCTGGACAACATAAGGAGATCTGTCACTACAAAAAAATAAATTATCCAGGCTTGGTGGCTCATCTCTGTGGTCCCAGCTACTAGTGAGGTGGAAGTAGGACTGCTTGGTCCCAGGAGATCGAGACTGCAGTGAGCTGAGACCACATCACCTGCTTTCCAGCCTGGGCAACAAAGACCCTGTCTCAAAAAAAATAATAAATAATAAAAGTAGTTTAAACTCGAAACACATCATTTTTTTTTTTAAGAAGACTTCTTAAGGACTTCATGCTTGATCTCCACTTCCCCTTTTCAGGGTCCACACATCATCCTTTTAACAGTCTCTTTTGCCAAGGATAAACAGTAAGTACATAGTCTCTGGAATCCATATTCTTCCGTTCGGATAGCCAGGGGGACACTTTTTGATCTGCAGGATTTTGCATCTGACCTGCTCTTGGTCAGCAATCTCACCACAAAGTTGCCAAGCCTCCCTGTAACGCACAGCCAGACAGAGCCCAGTGCAAAAGCTAGAGAAGCTGGCGGAGGGAGGCCCACAGTGCCACAAATCATCTTTTCTTTCTTTCTCTTTCTGGCTTTCTTTCTTTCTCGCTCTCTTTCTTTCTCTCTCCCTTCTTTTTTTTTCCCACATGGCAAGATCTCATCATGACGGAAATAATCTGCCAGTGACTTCTGTTTCCACGCTGCTTCTGCCAGGGTCATGCGCTCGGCATGTTGTTGCTTTTTTTTCTTTTTTTCCGATATAATTATCCAGGCCCTTCCCAACTCTGGTCCCCTCAGCCGCTCCCTGACAGTCCCTTCTGCTGGTGAAAACACACACGGCGCCGGCCTGACCAGGGTGTAAGTCAGGGCTCGCCACTGTGTGCTATCAGGCAGTGACTGAACGTGTTTAGGACTCTGTTTCCTCAATGTAAACCGGAGGTTAATACCGGCCTTCTATGCACGTGTTTGTTCCGGCCACAGGGCCCAGGTGTAGGCTGTTTACGCGTCGGCCATCCCCACGCGTAATTAACGGTCAGCCAATTAAAGGCGAACCAAGCCCGGTCCATCTCCGGACTCCTTTTCTCATCCTCGGGCTGGACAAGCAGCTGGCCTGGGCCCGGCTCTGCCTTTTCACATGCGGGGCGCCAGCCCGTTTGCTCGTCTGTGTATGGGAGCGTGAGATCACGGGGTGCTCCCGCCCCGGCGGGTCCTTGTGTCCTGGGTCCCTAAAGGCCAGGTCGCTCCACCGCCACAGAAGGCGCGAACTCCAGCCGTGCTCAACGGCTGCGGTCGGTTACCGGGCCACCTGCTGCTGCAATTCTGATTGGTTCCTTCCTCCGACAATGCCCCGGCTGTAACCAATCGACAGTGAGGCCTCGCGAGACTCCGCCCCGCCCTGCAGAAGCCAGCGCTAACCCGCGGGCAGAAGGGTGGGTGGTTTGCCTTGCGTGGGGGTCGCGGGCTGGGCCCATAAAAGAGGAAGTGCACTTAGACCAGACCCTGCTGCACCCTGTTAGAAAATGCTTTGGCTGGGAGGCAAAGAGGCGTGTGACTGGAGAAGGCTCCTTTCTGGCCGTCAGTCTTGCCATCTTCACAAAGGGGTTGGCGGCCCAAGAGAGTGTGAGGCAGAGGCGGGGAGTGGCAAGGGAGTGCCTGTCTGGGGGAACGAAGGAGTAAATGCGGTGATCGGGGAGCACGGAAATGGGCGTGGAGGAAGGCACGCAGAGAACCCTAGGCGGGGCGGCCCCCGCCGAAAGACGGTGGCTCCAGGGTTTCCTCACCCTAGTTGGAGCTGGCAGGCCCCGCCCCGCCTGCAGGCCTCTCCCCTGGGCCCCGCCTCCGAGACCTAAGCTGAGCCGCCGCCTGCGCGGAGCCGCACTACAGCGCAAGTTCCCCCGCGCGCGTGCTTTGGGTTAGCGACAGCCCAAGCCCGCCGGACGCTCCGCCAGCCGACAGACAAAGCCGCACGCTCTCTCGTGTTCTCCCTACGGCCCGGTGAGCCTGGCCCCAGCCCTGCGCCCCCTGCGCCCCCCACACCTGTTCCTTGTGCGCTGCCCGCTCTTCCATTTCCCTTCTCTCCTACCCGGGTTCATACTCTTTTCTTTCTTTTTTTTTTGAGACAGACTCGCTTTCCCGCCCAGGCTGGAATGCAGCGGCACGATCTCGGCTCACTGCAGCCTCCACCTCCCAGGTTAAAGCAATCAGCCTGCTGAGTAGCTGGGATTATAGGCGCCGGCCACCACGCCTGGCTAATTTTTGTGTTTTGTAGAGACGAGGTTTCGCCATATTGCCCAGGCTGGTCTCGATCTCCTGAGCTCAAGCAAACAACCCGCTTTGGCCTCACAAAGTGCTAGGATTATAGGTGTGAGCCACGGCGTCCGGCCTGTACTAATACCTTGTCTTTGGTTCTTTCTCTCTCTTCTTTTTCTTACTCTCTTTTGCTCTTTCCCTCTCCCGTTCAGTTAGCTGTCGTTTGAGCCTCCACCTTTCCATTCCCTCTTTTCCACCATGATGCCAAGCCCTGCCTTGGATGGGGACCGTCAGCGAGAACCAGAATGACCTCTCCCGCGCCAGGCGGCTCCAGGCTGTGTTCCTGCACGGTCTTTCCCAGGGCTTGGGGGCTTTTTCTGGTGGGCTTTGAGCTGCTTGATCTGGCCTCTCCCGGGCCGGCTCCCAGCCCCTCCAACCTCCTCACAGCCCCACCTGGGCCCTAGCCAATTCCCATAGAGTCTCTGTCCCATCGTGATCCCCTCACAACTCTCCCACTCACCAAAGTCTGATGACTATGCTGGGGGGGTGCTTATCTAGAGTACCGAGTGTTACAAAAGCAGAATAATTCTGGACGAGAGCCAATTTGTAATATTAAGCAGATGGGGTGGGGGTGGGGAGTGTACTTAAGTTCATTTTCCGCCCCCTTTCTGTTTCCGCCCCCTGTTCCCCTTTCCAGTGTGTGCACTTAATCAGTCCCTGGGTGAGATGGGCCCCGTCCCCACCCACTTCCAAAGCATGAACTGGCTGGGCTTGTGTGTCTTGGGGCAGATGACCCTTTCTAAACTCGCCTCTGCTCACCCACAGGACTCATAGTATGACCATTAGGTGTTTCGTCTCCCAGCCGTTTTCTATGGAAACCCAAGGGGATCAGGCCATGATAGCCACTGGCAGCTTTGAAGAACGGGACACCTTTAGAGAAGCTTGATCTTGGAGGCCTCACCCTGAGACCTTACAAAGCCGGGTAAGAGTCCAGTCCAAGGAAGCGACCTCTTGCTGCCTCCTAGCCCTGTGGTCTAGGAGCAGTAGTCAGCAGGACGTTAACAAAAGTAATTACCACCCCCACCCCACACAGTGAAGTGGCTCTTCCGGTTCACAGAGCACACTCACACCTCCCGCTCTCATTCTGGCCCTTCAGCCAACTGGGATAAGCCAAGGATGTTGGTCCCCATTTTATAAAAGAGAAAACTGAGGCCCCCGTGGAATAGTGATTGGCCCCAGGTCATTCTGGGAGCCAGCAGCAGAGCTAGGACAGGAACCTATTGTTCTAACTTCGTATTTTTGGTGCTAGCTTTTGACTGCCGCTTTTGTGGCTCTGAAACTGGTTATTTGCTGGGGACTGTAAAATAATTATTTCTAGACCTGCGTTTTAATTGCTATTAGTAGAGCCCCCTTACCCACCCTCTGAAGGAGCTGACTTGGCAAGCCCAAGGCAACAATCAGAATGGCAGCTGAACCTCTATGCACCTGTCTTTGGGCAACAGCTGGGTCTTATTCTTCTCTGGCCATCACAACACCCTGCAACTCAGCTCAAGGTCAGGAATGTGATAGACTCATTTATCGTATCTCTGATGCCTGGAGAAGGGATACCATTTGCCTGAACCTTCTCAGGACTGTTTAATCAGCTCCAGAGAACTTTCCTTGTGAAAGGCCCTGCCTGTGCCTGAGGCTGAGAAAACAGCAGGAAAGAAATGAGGAGCTAGGCAGCAGTGCAAAGCAAACACCACCAGCTTTGGAGCCTGTAGGAGTGGCACTTATGTCTCTTGGAAATAAGGGCAGCCACCTTGCAGGGCTATTCGGAGGAGCTAATACAGGGCCCTGGGCATTGGAGTGGGGAGAATTGTGGAACACCTCCTGGGGAAAGGGGATGTCAGAGCAGGGAACCTGGGGAGTCTTGGGAGCACTTTCATCAACCCACTCTGCTATTTGCTCACCAGTCTTCACTGAGCCTCATGGGCAAGCTGGAGGGAAACGGGAATAAGGTCAGGCCCTGTTCTGTAGGAGGTCCCAGTGCAGTTGCTATGGTATCTTTGTTTCCCTGGTTGCCCCAGCCACCTGGAGTGAGAAGCCTAGGAGGAAGCTGGGTGAGCTTATTTCCTTGGGTCTCTGTGTTCACAGCTGACTCCCTTCCCCAGCAACAAGGGCAGTCAAGTGGGACTCAAAGCAGCTGCTCCAATGAAGTCAAAGAAGCTAGCTCAGGGGAGGAAGCAGGTCACCCTCCCCCACTAGGGTGCTGGGCTCACTTCCTCCTGTGGCAGTGGAGGAGGGTGTGGTTCCAACTCAGAACAAAATGGGCTTTTGGTTTCCCTTATCCTCTTAACAGCCTGACGTGTACCCCTCATCCCTGCCTCTTTTTCCTCTTGTGTTGGAGGAAAGGAAACTGGCCCAAACAAAATGGAGAGCCATTTTCTCTGTATCACATGTTAGGCCAGGAGGAGTCTAGTGCCCCAGAGTTTACTCTTAGCCCCCAAAATCATCCAGCTAACTGTTACCTTATCTAAGAAGTCCTTTTTTTTTTTTTTTTTTTTTTTCTTTTTGAGAGACAAGATCTTATTCTCTCATAGGCTGGAGCACAGTGGCACAATCACAGCTCACTGCAGCCTCAACCTCCTGGGCTCAAGCAATCCTCCCAAGTAGCTGGGACTATAGGCATGCACCACCATGTCCAGCTAACTTATTTATATTTTTTAGACTGGGCCTCACTGTTGACCTGGCTGGTCTTGAACTGCTGGGTTCAAGTAGTCCTCCCACCTTGGCATCCCAAAGTGCTAGGATTATGGACATTAGTCATGTGTCCAGCCCAAGAAGTCTTTTTTTTTTTTTTTTTTTTGAGCTGGAGTCTCGCTTTGTTGTCCAGGCTGGAGTGCAGTGGCACGATCTTGGCTCACTGCAACCTCCACCTCCTGAGTACAGACAATTCTCTTGCCACAGCCTCCCAAATAGCTGGAACTATGGGCGCATGTTGCCACACCCGGCTTTTTTTTTTTTTTTTTTTTCCTTCAGTCGAGTACAGTGGCACGATGCTGGCTCATTGCAACTTCCGTTTTCCAGTTTCAAGCAATTCTCCTGCCTCAGCCTCCTGAGCAGCTGGGACAACAGGCACACACCACCATGCCCGGCTAATTTTTTGTACTTTTAGTAGAGATGGAGTTTCACCACGTGGCCTAGGTGGGTCAAGAACTCCTGAGCTCAGGCAATCTGCCCGCCTCAGCCTCCCAGAGTGCTGGGATTACAGGTGTGAGCCACCACACCCAGCCCAAGAAATCTTTTCTAATCACCCACTCTTCTTCTCCCGATGATATTAATTGTTCCCTCCTTTGCATTTTGAGAGTTTGTCCTGTAAGCCCCAAATGCAGCTTGAATCATCTTCCCACCCACCCCCTGTGCCTAACAGTAAGCCTCCTCCAGGGTAGATAGTATCTCCTGCATTCAGTGAACCACTGCCCAGCAAAGCAGTCTTGCTAAAAGAATGACTCTAGAGAGCCTACCTTATGTGGGAACTGGAGGAGAAAATTAGACCGATGGTCTGGGAAGAGATTGAATTAGTCATCTTGTACCTACCTTTTTTTTTTTTTTTTTTAAGACGTAGTCTTGCTCTCACTCAGGGTAGCGTGCAGTGTTGCAATTTTGGCTCACTGCAACCTCTACCTCTTGGATTCAAGCAATTCTCTCCCTCAGCCTCCTAAGTAGCTGGCATTACAGGTGCTTGCCCCCACACCTAGCTAATTTTTGTGTTTTTAGTAGAGACAGGGGTTTGCCATGTTGGCCTCGAACTCCTGACCTCATGAACCACCTGCCTCATCCTCCCAAAGTACTGGGATTACAGGCATGAGCCACTGCACCTGGCTCCTTCCTTTTCTTTTTTTTTTTTTTTAAAGACAGGGTTTCACCATGTTGGCCAGGCTGGTCTTGGAACTCCTGACCTCAGGTGATCCACCTGCCTCAGCCTCCCAGAGTGCTGAGATTACAGGCGTGAGCCACCATGCCCGGCCCCTTTTCTTCTTGACTTAAATTACATACTCATGGAAACCATTCTTGCTTTGACATAGAGAACATATCACAGTGGGTCTGTGCCTGTCGGGTCTTTGGCTGAAACCTTTCTCCACTTCTGTCAGCTCTTCAGATGGATCACAGAAGCAGGAATGTGGGTATCATCAGTGAAATCTCTGCATCCAGCAAAAAAAGGGCTGGTCCAGTGGCTGTTTATGAGGCAGCGCTAGGAGAGCTCTGATCCAGACTTTCCTTGTAGTGAAAGGGAGGGAGCCCTTCATGAAGTATTGACTGCTTGAGCACTAATTGCTTCACCAGTGCCTAATTGAGTACCTCTTGAGCTCACATCTGTTTTCCCTAATGAGGCCACTTGGAGGCTTACTGAGAGACTTGGTGCTTATTAGGGAAGGTGGGGTTGGGGATGGTGAGCAGGGAGGGCCTGAGGACATTGTGGCTGATGGGGCTTTTCTCCTCTTGGCTTAGATTCCGGCAGAGTTCCTCTGTCTCGTCTTGCTGATTAAAGGTGCCTCCATCTCCAGTTTTTCTCCATCTCCTGGGAGGTAGCAGGAAATCAGCATCATGGTTGGGTTCAAGGCCACAGATGTGCCCCCTACTGCCACTGTAAAGTTTCTTGGGGCTGGCACAGCTGCCTGCGTCGCAGATCTCATCACCTTTCCTCTGGATACTGCTAAAGTCCGGCTACAGGTGAGGAGATGAAGCCTGGGGGTCTTGATGGTGTCTATCTCGTTCCCTCCTCAAGGGGCAGTAGGGTGTTTGGAGCATTGGGGTGGCTGGAGGTGGGAAGGACAGCCTACCTATCCCTGTAGCTACCGTCTTGGCCTTGCAGATCCAAGGAGAAAGTCAGGGGCCAGTGCATGCTACAGCCAGTGCCCAGTACCGTGGTGTGTTGGGTACCATTCTGACCATGGTGCGTACCGAAGGCCCCCGAAGCCTCTACAATGGGTTGGTTGCCGGCCTGCAGCGCCAAATGAGCTTTGCCTCTGTCCGCATCGGCCTCTATGACTCTGTCAAACAGTTCTACACCAAGGGCTCTGAACGTGAGTATGGAGCTAGGCCATAGGCCCCTTGGCCCTTTTTTCTCGGTGATGATTGACCTTAGTTCATTCAGCCATATAAGTTATTTAGGCCCCATGATCCCTAGGAAGAGCAGAGGAACAGAACTGGAAGGGGCCCTGGTTCTCCATATAGTTCCTGAGCACCGGGGCCATGCCAGGCTCTGAGCAAGGCATCATCCCATAACAGTCCTCACCACCACCTTGGGGGTAGGCAGTATCATCCCAGTGTTATAGATGAAGAAACTGAGGCAAGAAGGCAATGGGTAGAGGGGGACTTGGCCAAGGGCACACAGTAGAGAGCCAGAAAGCAGGACCCTTGCCTCCGAGGCCAGCGTTCTTCCCTTTCACCTCCTTAGTATGCAGGCCAACCCTCCGTTTTGCATATGAAGGAACAGCCCAGAACAAAAGGCTGTCTTTCCTAAGATCACATGGCAGGAAGAAATAAAACTGACATGAGATCCCAAGCGTTAAGAATCCCACCTTCAAAGTCACTTCTCTTTGAGCCTTGGTTTTCACATTTGTCAGATGGAAATGGTTGTGATTTCCCAGGGCTGATGAGCAGGTAAATGAAAATGTTTTATGAAAGAAAGCACTAAATTTCATTTTGGTCTTACTCCTTGCTATGTCCCTAGCAAGAAATAGACATTCATAGGGATATTTTGTTTGATGCCAGGAGTTCTTAGAGCAAGGGCTTATAGAAGGCCAAAAGCTGCTGGATTCTGTTCCCAAAAACAGGAGATGACAGTGACAGGCTTGGTTTTGGTGAGGAGAGATGAGGTAGAAAACGAGTACAAGCCTGCTGGCCACTGACCCCATGGCTCACCCACAGATGCCAGCATTGGGAGCCGCCTCCTAGCAGGCAGCACCACAGGTGCCCTGGCTGTTGCTGTGGCCCAGCCCACGGATGTGGTAAAGGTCCGGTTCCAAGCTCAGGCCCGGGCTGGAGGCGGTCGGAGATACCAAAGTACCATTGATGCCTACAAGACCATTGCCCGAGAGGAAGGGTTCCGGGGCCTTTGGAAAGGTGTGTACCAGTTGTTTTTCCTTCCCCTTTTCCTATTCTCTGATTCCCTGGTCTCACACAAGATCTTCCCCCTCCTACAGGGACCTCTCCCAATGTTGCTCGTAATGCCATTGTCAACTGTGCTGAGCTAGTGACCTATGACCTCATCAAGGACACCCTTCTGAAAGCCAACCTCATGACAGGTGAGTCATAAGGTAGATGGTGCTGGGTCTCAAACTTCCCCATGCCAAGAGCAGGTATGGGGGTCTAGTTGACGCCAGAAGACCACATCTTTTCATCCTATGTGCCCTTTGCAGGGATAGTAAGATTATATGCCATATTGAAGCCAAGTGGGATGAAGCTCCCACCTTGCACATTGAGGAACTGAGGCTAGAGTGGCAAAATGACTCAGGTCCTCAAAAGAGGTCTCAGTTGGAGTCCCTGTCTGTTTTTTTGAGAATCTTACTCTGTCACCCAGGCTGGAGTGCAGTAGTGCAATCTCAGCTCACTGCAACCTTCTCCTCTTGGGTTCAAGTGATTCTTGTGCCTCAGCCTCCCGAGTAGCTGGGATTACAGGTGCGTACCACCACGCCTGGCTAATTTTTGTATTTTTAGTAAAGACGCAGTTTCACCACATTAGCCAGGCTGGTCTTGAACTCCTGGCGTCAAGTGATCCACCTGCCTTGTCCTCCCAAAGTGCTGGGATTATAGGTGTGAGCAACTGTGCCCAGCCCTCTTGTTTTTTAAGATAGGGTCTTGCTCTGTTGTCCAGGCTGGAGTGCAGTGGTGTGATGAATAGCTCATTGCAGCCTAAACCTCCCTGGCTCAAGCAGTCCTCCCACCTCAGCCTCCTGAGTAGCCGGGACAATAGACATGCACCACCATACCTGGCTAATTTTTTATATTTTGTAGAGACGGGGTTTGGCCATGTTGCCCAGTCTGGTCTTGAATTCCTGGGCTCAAGTGATCCACCCACCTCAGCCTCCAAAAGTCCTGGATTACAGGTGTGACCCATTTTGCCCAGTGTCTGTCTTTAAAACTCAGCTAATTAATTCTCCTCCCTTCTGGAATGATGAGTGAGGAATCTTGACTGCCTTGCCTGCTCCTTGCCTCCTTGGCAGATGACCTCCCGTGCCACTTCACTTCTGCCTTTGGGGCAGGCTTCTGTACCACTATCATCGCCTCCCCTGTAGACGTGGTCAAGACGAGATACATGAACTCTGCCCTGGGCCAGTACAGCAGCGCTGGCCACTGTGCCCTTACCATGCTCCAGAAGGAGGGGCCCCGAGCCTTCTACAAAGGGTGAGCCTCTGATCCTCCCCACCCAGTCCAGGCCTCTTGGCTGTGCATGTCCATCACAGGTAGTAAAGAACCACCTCTAAGTGAGTAGCAACCAAGTGTCAGGTTATTTCTGATCCTGGTCCTGGCATTACACTTATCCCTTCAATTCCTTCCTCCCAGAGTTGCTACCATTACTATTTTTGAGGTGTTAAAATGGAGACTCAGGGAATTCATGCTTATAGCCAGGCAACTGTGAGCTCAATTCAGCCTCCTTTGGGACAGAAACTGGGTTGGATTGGATACCAGGCCCAGTGAGGGAAGTGGGAGGTGGAGGTGCCTCCCTGACCTGTGTTTTTTCTTCTCTAGGTTCATGCCCTCCTTTCTCCGCTTGGGTTCCTGGAACGTGGTGATGTTCGTCACCTATGAGCAGCTGAAACGGGCCCTCATGGCTGCCTGCGCTTCCCGAGAGGCTCCCTTCTGAGCCTTTCCTGCTGCTGACTGGCTTTGGCTCTGATCGGGCTATGCTTTCCTTTTCTTCCTTTCCTGCTTCCCTCTTTCTCTACCTCTTCCTTCTACTCCTTTACCCCACCACCTTTCCTCTCTCCACATTCTTATCTCCCCATTGTCTCTGTGCTGGTAGAATTGACATTTGACAATGTGGGAGGCCTGGTACCAGCCTGGATCCCAAGCCCCTAGTCCCTTGGAAAGTTCAGCCAGAATCTTCATCCTGCCCCCACAGCCCAGCCCACTTTTCACCCATAAAGCAAGCTCAACTTTGGTGTCTCTTCCCTCTCTTGTACCTGTTACTAAAGTTCTTGGTCCAATAGCCCTTTTGGTACCTGGTGGGCAGGGGAGGACCTACCTTCCACCTCCAGCATCCAATCTGCAGCCCGTGGCCGTCATCTAGTCCGTTTCTTTCCAGACCCAGGCCGTGTGCTAACATGGGGAGTCCCGGAGCCACCCGTGGCTTTGTTGTCACCTCCCCTTTGCCAGGCCACTTGAGGTTTTACTCAGAATCTAGTACTCTAGTGCCTGCTATTCCAAGCCCAGGCCTGTTTATTGGCACGAGAGTGCTCCTGGCTGCCCTGCAGCTCTTGCAGTTCTAGAGGAACATGAGATTCTTAGATCCTGTCAACTTAATTTTATTCCATTTTACAAATGGAAGACCCACCCTCCTCCAAAGGCCCAGACCTTGTGAGAGCAAGTCAGGCTTCTTCCACCTTCCCCAAGCCCACCCATAGAGGAAGTGTTACTGAACTGAGTGGGACAGGCCCTGACTGCCTGAGGATACGTTCCGTTGTGGTTTTGTTTTAGACAGCGTCTCACTTGCTGTCACCCAGGGTGGAATGCAGTGGTGCAATCTAGGCTCACTGCAACCTCCCTCTCCCGGGTTCAAGCAGTTCTGCCCCAGCCGCCTGAGTAGCTGGGACTACAGGCACACTCCACCACATGTGGCTCATTTTTGTATTTTTAGTAGAGACAGGGTTTTGCCATGTTGGCAAGGTTGTTCTCAAACTCTTGACCTCAAGCGATCTACCTGCCTCCACCTCCCAAAGTGCTGAGATTACAGGCGTGAGCCACTGCGCCCAACCAGGATACTTTCCATTTGGAGTCTCACCCCTACAGCCCCCCTCTACCTGCCCCGCCCCTGCCAGGGATCCACGGAGACCACAGGCAGCCAGGACTTTGGCTGAACATGGGCCTCAGCTTCTCTAGCCCTGTTCTTACCACCTGCCCTCAGAGCCAGGTGGGCAGGGCCACTGCAATTTCAAGGAGTGGAGACTGAGGTCCCAGAATCCCAAAGGCATCTCCTGTAGGGCTGGGCCCTTAGAATTGTCACTCAGGGCCGGGCGCGGTGGCTCAAGCCTGTAATCCCAGCACTTTGGGAGGCCGAGGCAGGTGGATCACGAGGTCGAGAGATCGAGACCATCCTGGTCAACATGGTGAAACCCCGTCTCTACTAAAAATACAAAAAAATTAGCTGGGCATGGTGGTACGTGCCTGTAATCCCAGCTACTCAGGAGGCTGAGGCAGGAGAATTGCCTGAACCCAGGAGGCGGAGGTTGCGGTGAGCCGAGGTCGCGCCATTGCACTCCAGCCTGGGTAACAAGAGCGAAACTCCGTCTCAAAAAAAAAAAAAAAAAAAAGAAAAAGAATTGTCACTCAGGCCTAGTTTATAGGTATCTGAAGAAACCGAGGCCTGACTCAGGCGATGCAGGCAAGAATACCCCCAAGGTGGTCCACGGCTGAACTGGGACTGGGACCCAGTCCTCCTTCCCCTTCTGGACTCCCCCAGAGATCGACGCTGGGATCCTTGGGGAAACCTTTTTGACAGTTGTGGAGCCAGGCCCTAAGAACACAACCACCCTCCCCCCATTCCTCAGCCTCAAACAGCTGACATCACTACATCACTGCTCCCTTGTCTCATTAGGCCAGTGGTCAGAACCAGAGGCTAGACCCTTCAGTGCTTGGGTTGAGGGCTAGGGTGTTAAACTGGTTCCTGGAGAAGGAATGAGGGATTCTTCAGCTTCCTTCTAAGTTTTCAACAAATTGAACCGACACTCCATAGTCCCTGGGAGGGACAGGGTTGAGTGCTACAAGGTGGCAGACCACGGCAAGGGTGACAGCCCAGCCAGGCTGCAGGGGGTGGCATATACGAAGGACCTGGCCACTGCATTATGTACCTTTTCACACTAATCCTGTGAGGCAGACAGGCTGTTCACTTTGCTCTGGACTGGAGGAAGGACGGGCAGTTTGCTACGTGTGTTTCAAAACCAAACAGACTGGGTGGGTGTCAGCAAGCTGGTTCATGCAGCAGCCTTAATAGACCCTAGGCTACCCAACTTCATTGTGATTCTGGGTGTGACCTTGGGACAGTGAACTGGGAACAGTGATGACCACTGGAAAACATACCAGTGGGCTTAAGTCATTCTGATCACAGATCACTTCTCTTTGGTCCCCAACCCTTTAAGGCCTATTAAGTAGGCATATGATAAGCCCTGCTTTGCCTAATTCAAGTAGCACCAAAGATCATGGAGGTAATAGAAATCTCCTAAGGTACTTTCAGGCCTGAGACCCAGACTTCCTTCAGCAAGCTTTCCTGTTGCCCTACAGGAGACTTGGAGTTAAGGAGTTTCACAGCCCTGGCCCTGCTGTCCGATTTAGGGCTTGCTCTCAGAACAGGGCAGCTCTCACCACCCTGCTCCACCTGGGTCCTGCCCCAGACTATTTTATACCTCACTATCTGGTTTCCATGAAAGGCCTGCGACAGTAAGAAATGGGTACAGGCTGGGGGCAGTGGCTTACGGCTGTAATCCCAGCACTTTGAGAGGCCAAGGCGGGAGGATCATGAGGTCAAGAGATTGGGATCATGGCCAACATGGTGAAACCCCATCTACTAAAAACACAAAAAATAGCCAGGCATGGCTGTCATGTGCTTGTAGTCCCAGCTACTTGAGAGGCTGAGGCAGGAGAATCGCTTGAACCTGGGAGATGGAGGCTGCAGTGATCCTAGATAGCACCACTGCATTCCAGCCTGGGTGATACAGCAAGACTCCATCTCAAAAGGGCAAAACAAATGGGCTCAAAAGAGGCCCAAAGGCATACAGCTGGCTAGTAGCACACCTGGGATCCAGAACAAGGGTATCTGACTCCTAAGCCCCCATGCTTTTAACTACTGTGCTGAAATGCTTCCTGGAGCTGTGGTCCCAGAGTCTTCATCTTGGTCTTTTGGGAGCTGCTTTCCCGATTTTGTTTTTTGTTTTTGAGATGGAGTCTTGCTCTGTCCCTAGGCTGGAGTACAGTGGGGTGATCTTGGCTCACTGCAACCTCCGCCTCCTGGGTTCAAGTAAATCCCAGCCTCCCGAGTAGCTGGGATTCTAGGCACACACTCCCATGCCTGGCTAACTTTTGTATTTTTAGGAGAGACGGGATTTCACCACGTTACCCAGGCTGGTCTCAAACTCCTGACCTGAAGTGATCTGCCCACCTTGGCCTCCCAAAGTGCTGGGATTACAGGCGTGAGCCACCTCAGCCAGCCCATGGTGATTTTTTAGTGACAAAAATGCTACTGAACTCCTACTTAAAAAACCTTAAACGGATGAGTTTTGAATGGTGGAGTCCCAAGCAATCTGGAGAATATGGACCTTTTCTGGCACCTCTGAAGGCATTCCACAGAATTGGCTACCTACTGTCCTGGACCTATCTTCACCCAAGCTCAGACTCCAGAGGGAGCCCTCCCTGGCACGGAAGGGGAGCATAAGACACTTGTTGACTCTGAGGAGGCAAGTGTCATCTACACAGGGCTAGCTGGACCTGAAGGCTGGGACTCCAGGCCATGGGGGCAGCAGTACTGTTACCACTTCCTGAATCTAAGCAAGTTCACCAAGCACTTTTACATCAATGATCTCAATCCTCACAACATGCCTGTGAGGGGCATTATAGCGCTGCTTTGCTGACAAAGACAGGGGTGGTAACTGGTCCCAGGTGGCAGGGCTGGGACTAGAACTCAGGTTCCCTACCTGCCAGATCACCCTGCCCAGGACCCATCTCACAGACCAGGGGATTGAGGCCAGAGAGGTAGAACCAATGCTGTTTCCAGTGCACACGGTCTTCTTTATACTGCTTCTCTATGCAAGGTGAGTCTGTTTGAAGCAACCTTCAAGGTTTTTGGGGTTTTTTTGAGATGGAGTCTCACTCTCGCCCAGGCTGTAGGGCAGTGGAGCAATCTCAGCTCACTGCAACTGTGCCTCCCAGGTTCAAGCAATTCTCCTGCCTCAATCCCTTGAGTAGCAGGGATCATAGGGACCCACCATCACACCTAGCTAGGTTTTATATTTAGTAGAGACAAGGTTTCACCATGTTAACCATGCTGGTCTCAAACTCCTGACCTCAAGTGATCCACCCACCTCAGCCTCCCAAAGTTCAGGGGTGAGCTATTGCACCCAACCACCTTCAAGGTTCTGATGACAGCTTTGGCACTGAGGCCTGAGTGACCTGCAACAAATGTTTTCTTTTGTGCCTTAGTTTTCCTGTCTCTAACATGACCATATCATGCTCCAGAGACTGTCTCTTCTGTCATGAAAAGCCAGAGCAGAGCTATGGGCCCTCAGAGGCTAAACAGCCCTGCCCCATTCTACCAAAGTGAAAGCACAGAGGATCTGAACTCTTACCTGTCCTTTCCCACAAAGCCAGGACAGGGACCCAGGCACTCAGCTCCTTGGGTCTCTCTTCCCTGTGCCACACAGGAAGGGCCAATATGAAGCTCCTCTCCAATGCACTCTCATGGATGTCACTGGAGGACAGGAAATACATCTTTATTATGTCAGTTTAAGCCCTGCGCCATCCCACCCAGGTGTCATCTGTGCAGCAGGCTCCCCTGCACACCCAGAGGCTGTGGGGGGTAGGGACAGGGTGAGGCCTGGCTAGCCTTCTCTCACGCCTGCTCCAGCCCACCACAGTCATGTCAGCAATGCCTGGCGCAGCATCTGCTTCTGCTGGGGCGTCAGGTGGGTGGGGAACTGGATGTCGAAGATGATGAAGAGATCCCCCTTTTTAGTGGGGTCCTCCGGAAATGGCATCCCCTCACCTGGCACCTTCTTGAAGTATTTGGGGCTGAAATAGGATGAAAGAAAGAAGCTTAGAGGGCATCCCAGAGTAGTCTCAGCAGGTCCCTGTCACAGAACTATTCACATAACCCCCGGAAGAGGACAGTTTCCGCAGCCTTCACCTGGAGTGGCTCTAAGAACTGGTTGGGAAGGGAGAGGAGATTGGCTTGTTCCAAACAGCT